ATCACCACAAGTTCATGTAGTGCCTAGGGCTTCATCGAGTGTTGATTTTGAGCTTTATTGCTTTGTGGTACAATAGAATGCATGGAATTATTTCAATATTTTTGTGTTTGTTGAGGTTTGTTTTGTAGCCCAGTATGTGTTCCATGGGGTGCTAAGTAGAAAGTGTATTCTTTGGTGCTTGGGTGGACTATTCAAAAGATGTCTGTTAGTTCCATTTGATGTACGGTATCATTTAATTCAGATGTCTCTCTGTTTATTCTTTGTCCAGTTGACCTGTCTAATGGAGACAGTGGGGTATGAAGTCCCTACTATTACTGAGTTGGGGTTAATCTGTGTCTTAAAGTCCTGTAGTGTTGTTTTTATGAATTTGGGTGCACCAGAGTTTTGTGCATATATATTAAGGATTGTAATATCTTCTTGGGTAACTGTTCCTTTGATAGGCATGAAGTGACCCTCTTTATCTCTTCTGATTAGTTTTACTTTGAAGTCTATTTTGTCAGATATTAGAATTGCAACCCCTGCTTGTTTCTTAGTGCCATTTGCTTGGACTATTCTTTTCTGTCCTTTGACCTTAAGGTAGTGCCTGTCCTTGAAGGCAAGATGAGTTTCTTGCAGATAGCAAAGAGATGGATTTTGTTTCTTAATCCATTCACTTAGCCTGTGTCTTTTGACTAGGGAGTTTAGTCCATTGATATTTAAGGTTATTATTGAAAGATGTGTACTGGTTGCTGTTATTTTTATTGCTGCTTGTGTTCTCAGCCTAATTTTGTGTTTCCTCTATTATAACTTTATTTTCTTTCATTGCCCCAGGGTATAGTTGTTTCTCTCTCCACTGTCTGTATTGCTTCAAATAGTCTTTGAAGGGTTAGTTTTGTGGACATGTATTCTTTCAGGCTTTTCATGTCATGGAAGATTTTTCTTTCCCCCTTGACTATAATAGACATTTTTGCTGGGTGTAGTAGTCTGGGTTGGCATCTGTGGTCATAGAGCTGGAAGAGATCAGTTTCTTGAAGACATTAAAAACATGGGTTTTCTTTCTTGATCCATTGTACCAGTCTGTGTCTTTTGACAGGGGAGTTGAGGCCTTTGACATTTAGTGCCACTATTGAAAGGTGCGTAAACTTATTCTGTAAATTTAGTGTTTTTTCTATGATATGTTGTGGGGAGTTCCTTTTCTGATCCTGTCTATTTGGTGTTCTATGTGCTTCCTGTATTTGTATGGGGATGTCCTTCCTTAATTGTGGGAAACTCTCTCCTACAATCCTGTTTAAGATCTGGTCAACACCATTAACCTGAAATTCTTCTTCCTCTATTCCTATGATCTGTAGATTTAGTCTTTTCATGGTGTCCCACATCTTTTGCACATTCCATTCCTGTGTTTTTTAAAATATTCCATAATCTTTGCTTGAATGGTCTAATTCTTCAACTTTATCCTCTAGTGAGTGTTGATATTCTGTTTTCCATTTCATTCATTCTAGAGGTGAGGCTTTCCCCTGTTGTTTCAAGTTGGCTTATTGAGTTTTGCATTTCCTTCTTCATTTCTACCTGAGTTGTCTTCAATGTTTCCATCTCTTTTGCGAATTCTTTCAGACATTTATCCCTATCTTCTTTGAGCTCTTTGTTCATGTGTTCTTTAAATTTCATTGAATTCCTTGATCATGTTTATGACTGTTCTTTTAAATTCATTGTCCTGGGTTATCTCTTGGGGGCTCTCCTTGTAGAACTCTTCTACAGGATTCATGGTTTTGGTAGGGACATAGTGTTTTGGCTTTCCATTTTATTATTCTTTTGCTGTGATTTTGGTGTGTGAATTTCTTTTGTTTATGATTCTGATATGAGAATTAAGTTGAAGTATGCTTCTGTTTGTATTACCTGGGTGCTTAGATTCTTTCTTTATTGGTTATGTAAAGCTGGTTGGTACAGGGTTCAGGTTCTCTCAGGTTTTATTTTGGAGGGAACTGATGTCTTCAGATCAGCTATTCAGGAATACCCACAGAAGCCCAATTCAGGTTCCAGTCAGGTACACCCAGGCTTCCTTCCCCACATGGAGGCAGTATCTAGGCTCTCAGGCAGTCCACCCTCTCAGGTTGTCTGCTAGGGTCTCAGTCTTCACCTACCAAAGTCAGATCTGCCCTGGGATCTTAGGAGGGACCTCACAAAATCCCAGGTAAGGGGATCGGTATGGCGCAATTAGGGGAAGCTCACCACCATGTGGAGGCAGGATCCAGGGGCTCTCAGCCCCTCTGTCAGAGAGAGGCCAGAGGGAGGCCAGGTACTTCTAATCTTGGCTCCTGCTTATATTATGTTTATGATATTTGTTTCAGACACAGATATATTTTACCTCAAGAGGGGACTTAGAACCTTCCTGGTGAAAGTGAAGATATTCTAAAGAACCAGTTGTACCTCTTCATTTGGCCATCAGACTATTGAAAATAGACTCCAGGGAATTGGAATTTCCCAGGAATCTCATGCTGGGAGGTGGAGCCCACCAGAGAAGGAACTTGTCTCCTAGGAAGAGATTTCACAGAGTTCTGCCATCTTGTCAGACCACCTTGCAGAAGAGATTGGTCCTGAAACACTGATGATTGCTCGGACCACACCTTGACCATGACTGCTTAGATATGCATACCCCTTGCCCTTTATTTAAATCTGTATCTGTTTTGCCAATTTTTTTCCCCTTTTCCTCCCTTCTTAGGAGACTCTCGCCTGTGCCCTCTGAGGCCCCCAGGGCTAACAAACCAACATAAGACATCCTATTTGAATTTTGCATAGTTTCTATGACATTTGGGAGGAGGGTGACTTACAAAAACTCAGATTCTTATAGACTTTTCCTTTTCCATGTCTGAAATGCACGGGCCCCTCTCAGCCCCTGCCTGGTCTCTCTTGCTCCGTGTGCATTCCACTTGCCCAATATGGCATTGGCTCCACCCCCTAATGGCTTGACCTTCAAAGAAACAGCTTCTCATAACCCACGTGCCATTCAAGCCCTGCCCTTAGTCTCCATCAGCTTTCGTGTGCTGTGCTGCAGTCTGAGCACCTCATCTTGCCAGGCGGAGCCCTTCACTGCTTCCCTGCCAGCCACACGCTTCACTCTGAGTTCCAAAAAATGGCCGAGGCGCTACCCTTTTTCCAGGGTGCCCCTGCGTCACCCACTCTTTTTGGAGAAATGAGTAATTTTTGGGCTACAACACTTCATGTCAGGGCCCTATGATGGACTTGGGGGGGTTGGGTCATTGGACCTCTCTATTCTTCGTCCCAATGTAACCACATTGACTAGATCTCCTTTCTCTGCTTTTCACTATTATCTGTTTGTTTAATTGGCTACTAAGGACAGGCAGCAAAGCCTGTGTCTTATGGCTACTAGGACCCAGGCTTTGGTTCTAACAACTATGTTAACAGTGTGAGCAAAGACAGCATGCTGGAACCCAGCAACATTAACTATTTATCACAACCTTAATTTCTCACGGCTGCTTCAAAAACTTCCCTGTCCATTACTCCAGGGGATTCCAAAAACATCCCAAGAAGTAAGTCATAGACCATCTCCAATGAGTGACAAAAACAAGTCATTAAAATTGGTAGCAACAAAATGGAAAGGAATCCTCATTTGCAGATGCTATACTCTGTCTGCCCATTATTCTACAAGGGCTTGTGCTAATGGAAAAAAGGACCCCACAAAAATTATTCAAATACCCAAATCCTATAATTTCATAGGTGGGAGAACTCTTTTTCTAAAAATGTATTTTATGTGTATGAATGTACTGCCTGTATGTATGTAAGTGCACCTGTGTCATACAATGCCTGAGGAGGCCAGAAGAGGGCATCGGATTCCCCTGGAACTGGAGTTACAGATGGTTGTTAGCTACCATGGGGGTGCTGGGAACTGAACTTGGGTCCTTTGCAAGAGCAGCTAGTGCTCTTAACTTTTGAGTCCTCTCTTTAGCCCTAAGGTAGGAGAACTCTTGAAATTCTAACCAATGTCATGTTTCTAGAAGAGAAAAGATCTATGTAGGGAAAGGAGTATGCATAAGCGGCTTGATGATTACAAAATACAGTGTCATTTTTTTTTCAGCTCCTCTATTCGAGAGTGATAGTGGGCCAGCAGCTGAAGTTCAGGAGACTTCATATCTTATCTCACCCTGTCACTAGGTCACCTCTGCAGATTCAGAGTTTCACTTGTAACACGGGTCACTATAATGGACAGTGCACTGTGGGCACCCCACCTGTGATGGGCTATGAAAGTAGGGGCAAGAGTAGGGGCTAACTCAAAGGAAGAGACACGAACTCCTCACAGGGGCAAGAAGAGGGCAGCAGAGTAGAGGGAGAGCATCCCAGTCAGACCCAGAGCATACCTGGGTCTCTTTGGCTGATCGCATGTCTCCTTCCTCAGAACCTCCTTTTCCTTCTTTGGAGGTGTTCTCTGCTCCTTGAGGGATGCCCTCTGGCCTTTCTTCCTCCTTCCCTTGGAAGACCTCTCCACCTTGCATGGCTTCTGTTCCCACAGCCCTTTGTGGCAGCTCCCACGGTCTGTCTGCTTTTTCCTAGAAGACCCTGGCCTGGGGCTTCCTGTGACCCACTCCTTCTGGCTAGGCTGGGCTCTCCGCCTGTCTCGGGGACATTTAGCTATAGAAGTCTGTTTCCTTGAGGGTCTTCTTTGTGACCTGTCACCTGCAAGAACAGAAAACGGACAGTAGTGGCGCCACATGACTCAGTCCAGGAAAGCACCTCCTACTCCAACATGCTTCCTGGAGCCTGCCAGCTCTGATGAGCTCAGAACGTGCCCCCAAGTATGCCAACTGTTTTTTGTTGAAGAAAACTGAGACATAGCAGATGGTCACTCCCTGACCTTCTCCCTCGTTTCCCTGGAGACCCATCTTGATAGTTAGGTGTCAGGCCTGTCTATGATGTTAAGAAAAGGGAGGACAAGAAGAACAAACAGACTTACTCAGGTCCCTTAGCTGACCAGTCACCTTAGCTCATGCTATTTTGTTCTCCAATCCTACTTCTCCCTGTCTTTAGGTCTTTGTTTCTGAAACTCTCGTGTTACATAAAACTTAAATGAATTTTACAGATGAATTTGTATGCTTGTTTCTTGTTAATCTGTCTTGCTTTCGAGATCTCAACCATGAATATGTTCTAGATGAAAAATGAAATCTATCCTCCCCACTTTGCCTGAACCCCAGACTGGCTGCACAACAGTTACCTTCACTATCCATGTGGGTCGTTCAGGATTTTCTGCTACGACAGGGCAGATTTCCCTAGCTGCACTGTGGAAACCCATCCTAGCAGAGCAGAGAGTTCGATGTGCTGTCATTGTCAGCAGTAGCCCTGTAGTACTGGGAACAGGGTACTCTCACGTTCTCCATTTTCTGTCCCTCCTTGCTCTGCCTCCCGTGGCTGTGCAGGCAAAGGAGAACTTCGCTCTGTTTCCCTGAGAACTTTTAAGTTTTGCTTTCTGAGAAATGAGCCAGATTATGAAACAGTGAACCAACCTCTGATGATAGATGGGGCTGAATTTGAACAGATAAGAGCTAGAGATTTCGGACCCTAAGTCTGGGCCTGAGGCCTGATTCTTCTGGTCAGTAGTTGCAGAACCCTGGGCAGGTTGCTTGTTCTCTTCCCATCAGCTTACCTGGGGGACACCAGTGTGTGGTCTTGGCAGTCTGCCCAGGCCTCCATAATCTGGCTCCTGCAATAACCCCTAGATGCTGTGCATATCGACTGTATAGCTCATAGCTTCTTCCTTCTCAGGGAGACCCTGCATTGATGGGCACCACCTTTACAGGGAAGTGCCTGGGAGTTTATACCCAATCCTCCTACTCGCCTGTCCACTCATGCTTTCTCTTCTCTTTTTCTCTGTTTTCTTTCCCTCCCCTCCCATCCTGTCCCTTGTCTTCTTATCTTGAGTCAGTCTATAACCAATTACTATCTAATTTGGGGGTATAAAGGTCCAGTCATCCTGTCATAAAGCAGAGCAGTCTGTGTCTTGACCTCCCTGTGGGATGAGACTGGACCTTCACTCTAGCTGAACCCACATCCTCCCTTAGAACTCACACCTCTGGCCCTGACCTGATCTCTCATTCATTGTTTCTGAGAGCAACACATTTCATGCATAAGAATCTCTATCTTTAAAAAAAAAAGAATCTCTATCCTAGTATCTGTTTCTGGCAACCTAACCTATCTGTTGACACCTACTCTAAGGGGTGGCAGGGAAATTCAATGGAGTCAACATTTCTTCAGGTATGATATAAGCTGGAAAATGCTGGATTTAGAAAACAGGCTTTACTCTGAGGCACAAAGAAAAATATCTCCACACTTTCTTCCTAGGTCTCAAACTAGGATCGTGATACAGTATTCAAGCACACAAGAAGCTTGCCTACTTGGCCCATTGAAATGGCTAAGAACGTGAAGATCTGTTTGTCCTTCACTAACTCATCATCCACATACAAACATTTAACAAGCATCTGCCAGAAACTGCTCAAGGTAGAGGGCTTAAACAGTAAAAGGGAACCACAAGATTCTTTTCCTCACTGATTTCAAGTTAGTGAGAAGGTGGAGAATGTGATTAGTTATATGACAGCATAGAGCACGTTATACCCAGACTGAGGGAGAGACTCTGAGGGAAGAAACTTCTTAGCTGAGACCTGAAAATAGGCTATATAAAAGTATGAAGTGAAAAGGTATCTGGAAGGGGTAAGTCAAGGAGTGGGTATTGGATGCAGTTAATGGGAGTAGGGCTGGGGTAAGTAGAGAGTGGATAGACCTGAGTGTATGAGTGAGTGAGAGGCAGGAGGTATATACCAAGTGGGTGCTGAGGAGGGATTTTCTACTTAGTATTTTAAAACAGGGATAGTTTGACAAGCCAGAAGTTGGTGATCCTAGCTGCAAGTGGAGAGAGCCCCATTAAGGTCTTCAGCAGATGACATAATCAGTTTTGTGTTGTTATAAAAGTCCCATTCAACCATTCAAACTCCTGTTGAGACAAGGCATCTTTTGATAACTACTGGAAGAAACCATAAACATAGAAGCTGATGGAAAAAAGAATTAACTTGTTTTCACTGAAATACAGAGAGGATATGTAAAGGATTAAATAAGCATACTTTTGGCTCCACTGTGACATGTAAAGAATGTGACCATCATGCCTGGCATCCTAACAAAAATAACAAAAGAAGCAAACTGAAAAACAGTTTTTGGTGGTTAATCTTGGCTGTCGACTTAATAGACTTTAGAATCACCTAGGAAACAAACCTCTGGGCATGTCTGTGAGGGTGTTTCCATAAAGGTTTAACTGAGAGGGAGCACCCACTCTGGGTGTGGTGGCAACATTCCATGGGTTGGGGTCCCTGACTGAATAAAAAGAAGGTGCTTCCTGACTGAAGACACGGTGTGACTGGCCACCTGTCCCAAGCCCCTGACACCTCGTTTTCTCTGCTCTATAGACTTCTTAAAACATGAGCTAAAATAAGCCCTTCCTTCCTTCAGCTGATTTTTGTCAGGTATCACATAAATAACTAATACTAAATTCTTTAATTTTTTTTTCACACAGGGTCTCGTAAAGACTTACCTTGTTTATAGACTGGTCTCAAAATCACTATGTAACCAAGAATGACCTTGAACTTAGACCTTTTTGCCTCCACCTTTTGAATGCTGGAATTTCAGGGTATATCACCACACCTGGTTTGTGCTGTGATGAGGACTGAACCCAAGACTTTGTACACACTAAGAGGGTACTGTACCAACTGCACTGTATTCCCAGCCTCCTAATAACCAATCTTTTTTCTTTTTTAAAATAGTTTTTATTTTACGTGTATGAGTGTTATGCACCTGTGCTGTGTAGCATCTGTGTGATGAAGTGGCTGTGGAGGCCAGAAGACAGCGTCAGATCATCCGGAACTGGAATTATGGATGGTTGTTAGTTGCTATGTGGGTGCTGGGATTTGAATCTGGGTCTTTTCCAAGAGCAGCCAGTGCTCTTAACCACTGAGCCATCTCTCCAGCCCTTTTTCCCTCTTCTTTTGAGACAGAATCTTGCTGGCTTCTACTCTAAAATTTCAAAAACATTAATTAATTAATTGTATGTGTGTACATGCATGTGTTTGTACATGTCCTGACACATTTACTTCGGTCAGAAGACAACTTATAGAAGCTGGCTCTCTCCTACCACGTGGGTTCCAGGGACTGAACTAGGCTGTCAGGCTTGGCAGCAAGGACCTTCATCTGCTGAGTCAGCTGTCTTGCCACGCCTCCCTTTTTTGAGCAGAGTTTCACGTATCTCAGGCTAGCTGAGAGCTCAGTATGTAGCTGAGGGTAGCCTTGGACTCCTGATTTTTCTGTGTCCATCTCCCAAGTGTTGGGACCACAAAGGTGACCTCTGTGCCCATCAAAGCAATAACTGGAGGGGCGGAGAAATGGCTCAGTGGTTAAGAGCACATTCTTGCACAGAACCCAAAGTGCGGTTCCCAGCATCATATCAGGCACTCACAATTGCCTGTTCAGGCTTTCATTGGCACCTGCACACACAGGCATGTGCACACACACATATACATACACATAAATAAAAATAAATAATATTTTTCTAAAAATTGGATATTAGATTAGAGAATAGAGACCAAAAGACAAAGACCTACATGGAACAGTCCTAGTTGTTCTAAAGAGCGTCTGGGGTTTGTTTTAATCACGTATGGAAAGATTTACAGATATGAAAATGACTGTCATGAAGAAGTTTATTTTACTCATAGATCCCTTAGGAGAGGGTTGCTCTACTTACCCACAGGGAAACCCTGAGACCAGTCAAAAGTCA